CCCCAAAACCCCAAAACCCCAAAACCCCAAAACCCCAAAACCCCATTGGTTAAAATATTAATTGATTGGATAATTTTATAAAATTCTTTAGAAATTTTTACCAAACTTTTACCTGCTTGGAGACTCTATTTAGAAAAATGAACTATGAATGTAAGGAATCAGGAAGCAAAGACGACTCTTGCGTCAAGACTAAGATTAGCAGCTTTTATCATGAAATTAAGCTAGGCCAGCAGCTTAAAGAGTAAGTATTTATTCATGGTTCTGAGTTTTGAAATTGCACAAAAAGAAAATTTTTAGAACCATTTTGCATATTTTTTGCCAACTTTTTGAAGCTAAAACCTCATTTCCTGAATTTGAAAGGGAATACTAGAAATATAATTTTAACAATTTGGTTGAATCGTGTTTTCTCTAATTTGTGCGCAACGAAACACAATGAAAGCAGAAATACTTGACAACTTTTGTACAACTTTTTATTCACTGAAAGAGAAAAATCATGGTGATCGATAGCCCAACATTTGGTTAACCAGAGCAAACTACAAAATTTTAGAAACACCAAAGCGGTGTGGGTAAAATCTAGGGAGATTTGATCAATTCGGGGTCACAATAGATTAGAACGACTGAAAACGTTTATATAGTATCTCTTTAAGTGTTATTTGCTAGTATTAAAAATGCCACGAATCTTCTTGCTTAAATCAGCCACTAATTTTAGCTCCTGTCAGATACTATTGTGCATTGATAGGAAGAAGATGAGCATACTTAGGTACTTCATTACTTAGCATGCACCATACCTTATGAGAAGACAATTAGAGCTCTCTTAGTCACAAATTTATTTCTTCATTAATTTTAATAAATTAGCCAATAAAACATAAAGAAAGATATTCATCATTTTTATAGAATGAAGAAGGTACAGTTGAAGCCATTAAAATTGAAGACTTTATCAGCTGAAAGTGACAATGAAAGTGTAACAACATTCTCATCGATTGAGCCCTTTGAACTCCCACCTCCTGCATTGACTCCTGAATATGAGAACTCCGAGCATAGTTTGAACATTGACTTGTCATCTGGAAGCCCAAGTCTTTCAAGTGATGATCTCTCAGAGAGTTTCACTTCCAATGAAGAGAGCTCAATGACTACGAGTAGTGAAGAAGATGAATTTTGTTTCAAACTTCCACCAGCAGCTATTCTTAGTAGCAATGATGAGATCCTTAGACCATCCCTATCAAGAAAGGGAGGAAGCTGGGGGACAAACAAGTTATCAGACGAACTCAATGCTCGATTCAATCTTCTCTCCATTAATACAGAAAAGAACCTCGATTACCAAGAAGATGACCAGAAAATTCACCCAGAGTCCATACTCAATTTCTTGAAGAAGAACTGCCCAATAGGTCAAGCCAAGCTGCTCTCTACTCCAGAAAATAGAGACCTGAAGGCTCCTATTAGATAAGGTATACCTTCTAGTCATACCACATTACTGTATTTACTTTCATCAATGATTCAATAAGCTAATTTTAGAAAGGGGTTTTGGGGTTTTGGGGTTTTGGGGTTTTGGGGTTTTGGGG